AATATTTTAAGTTACAGTGGAGAAAATCTGAAGCCATCCCTGTACAAAAATGATTTATAATATCATAAGTTATTAAGATGTCTTAGAATGGGCATGGAAGCATTTTAGAAATATCTAACCGTCGGTGGGGGAGGGTGGACAAGGGCAACGTAACCTAAACATTTGTACCTCCATAATATGCAGAAATAAAAAAAAGAAAAAAGAAATATCTAACCGTCATTGTAAGTACCCAATAAGCACCTTATTTGCTTTCTGATAAAGTACTGACCCAGGCCCACTCTTACCGTGTTATATTCTCCTTCGATGGTTTCCTCACTATTGGTGGACTGAGCTACCACCCTGAGTCGGCCTGGTGTCCCCGCTTCAATTTGTTCAATCTATAAAAGTGATGAAGTTTTACCATGAAATAAAGACATTTATCAAGCGGGATAACTGTATCTTCCCCTTCTATCTGGTTAACCCAAAGTTAAAACATAAAATCTTGCTTGAAAAGTCTTTTATGATCCATCTCCCTCACTTTAACATCATTAGGATGATCGGAGTTTTTAATTTAATCCCCTCTTTTTCACTGGTTAATGTTGTCTGCTAGAGAGGCTTTCTTTCATAGTTCTCAAACAATACAATGCAGAGAGAAAGTGGGAAAAGAAGAAAGCCAGAGAAAGCATACTACAATCCCTAAAATCAAACCAGTGACTTTCTGTTTTCCCCAGTCCTATCTTTCCATTCACCCAGAACCTTTATCCCATGGAGAGCCACTGTTGCCCAAATTCAGAGATTTTCTTTTGACAACAGATGATCAACATTCATTGACAACAAAGAATAGATACTGAAGTATTAAACAGGGCAATAATGACATAAGTAACAGCTAGAAAGCCTAAAAGTCATAGTGGGCTAGGAAATGTGCGTGTTTATCATAACTAGGGGTTGTCCTTGGTTGCTAAAGATGTAGAAAGGAATGAGCAAGCCTGATACTTGTGCTACGGCAAATGAGAATGAACACAAACCCACTACACAAAGATGCCAATGATAGCCTGTAGACTGGGTAACAATGACTTAGAAACCCTATTACCTGGAAGCTTCTTAAGTATGTAGTTAGCCTTTGTCTCTGAATAATAGCCAAATCCTGAGTTCCTGCAAAATATTTCCTAGGAGAAATCAAAATCACCTGCAATTTCTATTCTACCTTTAAAATACAATGACTCAGAGCTGAGGGTCGTTTTATTTTTAACATCAATAAACAGTGAAGATTGCCTTCTTGAATTCCCTTCTTTTATAGTTATACCTCTTTAAACATAGTGGAAAAGTCTTTCCTGTTTAATTTAAATTTAAATGTTCTAATCTTCGGAGAACAGCTGAATTGGCCCACAGCTTATAATATGTTTCAAAACGGTAAGCAAAGGTCCTCATTCTACCTCTATCATTACTCACTGTTGTGCTGCAGTTAGGCCTTTTCCATATTTAGAACAATTTTCCTACCCACACAGCCTTTTTGGACATACTATAATCTCTGTCCAAAATGCACTTTCTCCCTCCTCTGCACCGAAGGCTCCCTCCAATCAGTCACTTTATAAAACACAGGAGTTTAATGCCCAGCTATGAGAATCACATACCCTGGTGAAACCTATTTTACTAGGCAGAGTCCACCAGGTTTTTAAGAGGGTCCACAACCTCCCAAATGTTAAGATATTATACAGAAAGATGTTTCTCGTCTATCAGTACAGCATATATATACAGCTGTTTTCTAATTATAGACCTAATGCAAACATAGCACATATACCCTAACTCCCTAAAAAACAGCTACAGTAATCAAGTACTGATAATTCCCAGGAAATTTGCCACTTAATCTTCACAACAATATTACAAGACAGATTCACTTTAGGCTTACTCTCTGCCAGGGACTGTTCTAATTTCTTTATAAGCGTTGGCTAATGCAAACCTCACACGAATTGTGAGATAGATGCCATTATCAACCTCATTTTACAGAAGAAACTGAGGTTCAGAGAGGTTAAGTAACTCTCCTAAAGCCATATAGCAAGAAACGGGCAGAACAGTATTTGAATCCAGATCATTCTGACCCTAGAGTTCATGCTCTTATATATCAGCACTAAGAGATTCTTAGTCATGCAAAGAACTCAAGTTAACC